TTGCTATGACCAGTGTGTTCTCTTGGCAAAACTCTATTAGCCTTTTCCCTGCTTCATTCCGTACTCCAAGGCCAAATTTGCCTGTTACTCCAGGTGTTTCTTGACTTCCTACTTTTGCATTCCAGTCGTCTGTAATGAAAAGGACATCTTTTGGGTGTTAGTTCTAGAAGGTCTTGTAGGTCTTCATAGAACTGTTCACCTTCTTCAGCATTACTGGTCGGGGCATAGACTTGGATTACTGTGATATTGAATACACTTATACATACTTTTCTTAATACTTTTACAACTTATTTGCATGATTTGATTTCCGTTTTACTCAGGAGTTATGATCTGGTACTGTCATTGTGTGATGCCCAAACTGTCCCAGGCTTAGCGGGAACTCCTCAGACTGACTCCTTTGCCCCATCCCCATCGTGCTTTGTCTTCCACCTTCACATCTGCTCCCAACAGTGTGGAATCTGCCTGATTATCCCCAAGGTGTTACTCTCCAGTCTTCTCCCTGAAACAAGCCTGCCCTCCCCCGGTTCCCCAGCTCCCTCACCGGCTCAGGCCCTGATGCCACACTGTGGGCTGCCCGCTGTCCCAGCCTGCACCCTTTTCTGGGGTCCTTGGGCTCTGACACTCCATGCCAGGCTCCCTCTACCCTTGCCCTGCACAGACACCTCTTGGTCCCGTCCAAGCTGCTGTGGCTCCCCCACCACAGACGCAGGCACTGCCCTGTCCTGTTCTGCCCTGTGGCTGATGGACTGAGTTATTCAGGATGAGAATAAAAAGAGGAAAAGCTGAACTGAACGTTAAATGTTATTGTTTCCCTACTCTGAAACAGATGGTAAGTTTACCTTTTTAAAGGAGAGGCAGAATACTTTTAGACATTTGTTCTTTCTCGGGTCTTGGTGTGGCACATGGGTCTTCTGTTGCAGCACGTGGGCTCGAGAGTTGGGGCCCAGGCTCAGCTGCTCCGTGCCATGTGGGGGCCCAGTTCCCTGACCAGGGACCACGCCTGTGTCCCTGCACTGCCCAGCGGGTCCCCAACCACTGCACCACCAGCGAAGTCCCAAGGCAGAGTATTAAGGAAATAAAAACACCCCCTAATCCACAAAAAAAGTTGTTCAAAATTTTATGCCATTATGTAATGTTTTGGTCAATACCCTGGTGCAAAAAATACCAATTTTGTAAAACTGTAGTGCACGTATAGTATGTCCAGGATGAAAAGTGAAAGTGTTAGTGCTCAGTTGTGTCTGACTCTTTGCAACCCCATGGACTGCAGCCCGCCAGGCTCCTCGGTCCATGGGATTCTTCAGGCAAGAATACTGGAGTGGGTAGCTGTTCCCTTCTCCAGGGGATCTTCCCTACCCAGGGATCAAACCCAGGTCTTTGCACTGCAGGCAGATTCTTTACCATCTGAGCCACCAGGGAAGCCTCTATCCAGTATAAACCAAAATTAAAGTATACAAGCATGGATCATGATTATGAAAAATATAACGTACAACAAGTAGTTTTTGCATACTTAGTATATATGTGTACTCTGTAATTTATCCATACTGGGATTTTTCTGGTTTTTTTTTTCAACTCACGCACTTTTTTCATGTCATTAAGAATCATGTTAGAGGGTGTAATTTTTAATGGCATGTAGTTTTCCATCATTCATTTCAACCTGTTCTCTCCTGTTGAACACTGAAGCTTGTTCATAATTGTGTTTTATGTGCTATGGTGAAAATCCTGGTCCATAAATGTTTACCAGGTGAGCCACAAGGGAAGCCCTAGGGGCTCCTGCCTCTAGGGGGCTCCTGTCTCCTTAACTGGAGTTGACCACAGGACACCCTTCCTTTCTGGTATGTTGTCTTCACTCCTGATTATTAGGTGGCTAATGTCCTTCTTGATGGCACCCCACTCCAGTACTCTTGCCTGGAAAATCCCATGGATGGAGAAGCCTGGTGGGCTGCCGTCTATGGGGTCACATAGAGTCGGACATGACTGAAGTGCAGCAGCAGCAATGTCCTTCTGTTCGATGGTGTTCTGTGAAAGTTGCTTTCTTGTAGTAAGTGCTTTTCTGTTCTGTAGAAAACTCCAGGGTGTTCTGCAGCAGAGGCTGATAAAATTCTTCACTGACCAGAGTAAAAAAGATGCTGAGAAATATGCCAAGTTTTTTGAAGATTACGGCTTGTTCGTGAGGGAGGGAATTGTGACCACAGCTGAGCAGGAGGTCAAGGTAGGGTCTGGGTCTTGGGCCTTCCTCTGGGCGGCCTCGGACCATGGAGGACACTGCTGAAGAGCAGACACCTGAGCTTACTGGGATGTGAGGATGGCCAGCCGCGCTCCCGGGGGTCAGGCCTCTGGACCCCACAAGTGGTCCCTGCAGGCCCGGCTCCTCCAGGGCCCCTGCCTATGGCCGGAGGGGTGTAGGTGTGCACCGTCTCCTCCCACAAGGGCCCGGAGGACTTGAGGTCACAGAAGCAGGGACAGGCGAGGTGCCTGGTTCACGGGTGGGGAGGGCAGCTCATCATGTGATAGGCAGAAGTCCTCCAACACTGGGGCCAGGGGTCAGATAACTGCATAATTACTTAAAAACAGTAAAACTGTTCCATAAACATTTTGAAGTTGTAATACAAAGGAAGGAGGGTGACTGACCACCTGGGGTTTCAGGGCTGCTTCTGCAGGCCGGGGAGGGTGGGACAGGGGCCAAGCGCCCAGGCTGCCAACCTGTGCATTCCCCCCAGCCCTTCTTACCCTGGCTGTCCAACAGCTCAGGCACTGCCTGCTTGGGCTCCACGTGCGCCCTCTGTGTCTGTGGGAGCGGCACCCAGGTGAGGCCAGAGGCCTGTCTCGTGTTTGTCAGGATCCATCACGAGCACCAGAGCATGAACTGAGCCTCTGCACCTAGAGCCTGGCTTGCTGGCTGGGCCCCCAGATCCCTGCCTGGTCCCGTTGCATCCCTACCATGTCACCCTCGTCGGGACTGTGCCCTTCGGGCACCGTGGTTTGTCAGATGAGGCAGTGGTGTAGATGTGGCAGTTTATCATCAGGGCACGACCAGGCCCTAGCCTGTTGCTGCTCTTCCGTCCTCATTGATGACGCCACCTGTAGTCACATACACATCTCAGCCAAGCAGAGACAGACACACCACTCCTTCCAGGGTCTGTTCTCCGAGTCACACGCCCACTTTGGTTAGCACACCCTGCTGTGAGGAGGGCTAGGGAGCGTGGACTTCACACCTATGTGCCCTGCTCCGCGAGAGACAGGGTCTGTGACTCAGGACAGAGGGAGGCTGCTGGGTCTAAGAGCGGCTCTGTCATGGACAGGGCCTGGCCACTCCTGTGACTGTGCATGCGGCTTACCCGGAAGGGCCCGCTCAGCGAGGCCCTGGGCCAGCTGGAATGGCAGGTGGAGCCCAGGGGCCTGCACTGGAGTCCCCAGGTCCCCCAGACCCCAAGTCAGCCCTGTGTGCCACCCCCAGGCCAGGCTCCTGCAGCAGCTGCCTTGGCTGCAGACACAGTGGGTCACCAGGCCAGCCAGAGCTGTCCTCCCTTACTGGAGGCCCCTGAGGTCCGTGCCCCTCAGTCAGGAGGCTTCCAGATCCAGGACCCGGAACTGCGGTGACCCGGCCTCTGCCACCTGCAGGAGGACATCGCGAAGCTGCTGCGGTATGAGTCATCAGCACTGCCTGCCGGGCAGCTGACCAGCCTCCTGGACTATGCCGGCCGCATGCAGGCTGGCACCCGCAACATCTACTACCTGTGCGCCCCCAGCCGGCACCTGGCGGAGCACTCGCCCTACTACGAGGCCATGAAGCGGAAAAACACGGAGGTGAGTGAGCTGGGCCCCCCGCACTTCTTCTCCTTTCTGGCCAGGTCAGAGGGCGGGGGGCCTGAGCCCTGAAGGAGGGGTGTGCTCACTGGGAACTGACGGCCTGTGCTGGGGACCTGGAGAGCCGCGTGGTGAGCCACCCACGGGCAGAGGTGGGCCCGGGCCCCCCCTCGATCCCCTGTCTAGGAAGTGACACGAGGGTCTCTCTACAACCATCCTCCACATTCCTGCTCGCTGAGGGCTGTCTCTAAACCACTCACTTCATCCAGAAGGCCCAGGAGCCCCGCTCCATCCCGGGCGGAGGCTTGCCCACCTGACGACGCCGTCTTGCCCCACACAGGTTCTCTTCTGCTACGAGCAGTTTGATGAGCTGACTTTGCTCCACCTGCGTGAGTTTGACAAGAAGAAGCTAATCTCTGTGGAGACGGACATTGTGGTCGACCACTACAAGGAGGAGAAGTTTGAGGACAGCGCCCCAGGTCAGCTTGCTTCCCTTCCCTCCGGGTTCAGATGTGGCTGGTGGCCTAGGGGTGGGTGAGGCCGAGCGGGCCCAGGGAGCTGGCACTGTTGGCCTCATGGCCTTTTTTGTCCTGCAGTGGTGGGTGTGTGTGGGGGGTTTTCTTTTCAACGTGTCTTCATAAGACTGATCAAGCTGTCTAAGAGAATCAGAAGTTTTAAGGCCCTAATAAAATATCTGCATATGGGTCTCAGGCACCCAAAAAGCATCCTGAGGTATGAACTTATCAGCTGTATTTTATTTTTTAATATTCATTTGGGTGCACCAGGGCTTAGTTGTGGCACTCAGGACCTTCAGTCTTTATGGTAGCATGCAGGGAACTTCTAGTTGTGGCATGTGGGATCTGGTTCCCTGACCAGAGGTTGAACCCAGGCCCCCTGCATTGGGAGCGCAGAGTCTTAGCCACTGGACCACCAGCGAGGTCCCTCATCCGCTTGCTTTTAGATGCAGAGCGTTTTGATAGCTTCTGTGGTTGTGCCGGTCAGTGGCTGGCAGAGTGGAGGGAGCCCACGGGGAGAGTTATGCAGACAGCCCAAGCTCACCCTTGCACTTGCCTGTAGCAGGAGACCGCCTGTCAGAGAAGGAGACAGAGGACCTGATGGCCTGGATGAGAAATGCGCTGGGGTCCCGCGTCACCGACGTGAAGGTGAGACTCTCTGAGACGGGCCAGCGGCCAGCCGCCGTGACCCTCCGTGACCACACAGCAGGCCAGCTTGCCGTCTCCGGGCTGCTGGCCTGGCGGGTGCTCTCCCAGCAGTGGTTGGAGCCATGGTGTGAGGTGGAGACCAGACATGTCACTGCCCCCCTGCACTCGTGTGCCCTGTCATGTGTAGTCACGTGCACAGGGGTGCTGCTGACGCGAGACGAGCAAGCTCGGCTTTGCCTCCACTTTGTAGAGCAGGGGGAGCCAAGAGTGAAGGTGAGCAGTTGAGGGCCTGGTGGGCAGAGAAGAGGGCTCCCCAGTTGGTCTGCCTGGTCCAGGTCTAAAGGGGCTGCAGTAGCTGAGGATACAAGAGCATACCATCCCACTTGGGTTCTGAGATGGGGGCTGGGTGGGCTTTCATGAGCTAGGAACCCACCAGTCCAGCTCAAAGCTGTGAGAGAGAGAGAGTCACCAGGGAACAGGCGTCACTGCGCGGCTGCGAGGGAGGGGCAGGTGTCCGAACGGCCGAGAGCAGAGGGCAGACCCAGGGCCCTGTGGGAGGCGGAAGGGGGTCTCTGGGCCGCCGGGCAGGGAGCAAGGCTTCTTCCGTAGCACACGTATTGTGTCCATGCTCTACCGCAGCGGCTCACTTAAGGTGGCCTGGGAGGGAAGCAGAATTCTTGTCCATTTCCTATGAAGGAACAGGCACAGTGCTTCCCCAGGTCAGCAGGCTGTGGGCCCAGCAGGCCCGGGAGTCTCTGGTGTAAGTCAGGAGGTCTGTAGCCTGCAGGGCTGCAGGGAAGAAGGTGTATTTGATGAAATAAAGGCCAGAGGGAGCCGCAGGGAGAGGCCGGTGAGAGCACTGTCTCTTGGATGGACAGGATTAAGGGAGAGAGGCGGGGCCTGGAGACACAGGGTCGCTGTAGGACTTGGCAGTGGCCCCTGTGAAGCAGAGACATACAGGTAACACCAGGCAGGATGGACCCTGGAGGCTAATTGATAGGTTAGAATTAGGCGGCTTTGGGGTGGTCAGGCCTCCTCTCCTTAGGGGGTGATGGGGAGACAGGAAGGAAGGTGCACTACTGTCCTGTCTTGTCACCTGGCAAAGCCTCGTATCTGTCAAGACCCTGCCAGGTGCTCCCCTCACCTCTGGCCGTGCCTGCAGGTGACTCTCCGGCTGGACACCCACCCTGCTATGATCACGGTGCTGGAGATGGGGGCCGCCCGGCACTTCCTGCGCATGCGCCAGCTGGCCAAGACCCAGGAGGAGCGCGCACAGCTGCTGCAGCCCACACTGGAGATCAACCCCAGGTGAGGCTGCTGGGGCCCATGTCCCTCGATGCCCAGGGGGCACGCGTGCTCGGGTTTCTGACCCCCAGGTATTCTTGGAGTTGTATGAGTCCGTGTTCTTTCACTTGTAACACATAGAGAAGTACGTGAAGCTAATGGATAGTTTGGTTAATATTTATAAACATTCACGTTTAAGAAAATTGGCCCAGAAACTCCTGTTTTCCTCCCACTTGAACTGTCCCGCCCCCAGGGGCAGCCACAGTCCTGACTCCAGGCACTTGTGCATCATGACACACGAGCTTAGTTCTGTTTCTGAGCGGCGTGTGAAGGGACCCCTGTGCAGCCGCACTTCCCTCAGTCAGCCCGTGAGCCTGTCTGGGGTGACTGTGGTTTGTGTTCACAGCTGAGTCGTGTTCTGGGTATGAGTCTGCTCGGCACAGTAACTGTTCTGACAGACGCCGGGGTAGTTTCTGTTCGGAGGCTGTTGGGAGCAGGCTGCTCTGAACGCCTGTCCTCCACCTGGGGCGTGGGTGAGTCTCCAGGGCACGTGTCCAGTCGCGGAAGGGCTGTGTCCTCAGCTGGGCTGGGCCAGGGCTTCTGGAGGGCAAAGTGTCGGAACCCAGTCCCACGAGTGAGCCTTGGGCTTGGATTTCTCTCAACGCCTTCTTTGTAAAGAAGCCGTTGCTGCAAATATCTTACTTACTTTTCACCTGTCTGAAGATATCTTCTGGAGAAATTCTTTATGTAATTAATTTTAATGTAATCAAATGTATGCATGTTTGAGGCTTTCTGGGGTCTTAGGAAATCTTTATTTCAGACATGTTTCTTCCCCTATATGCCTTTCGTCTTCGTGGAGCCTGTCTGGGATCCGTGTGGGGGGTGGGCAGGGATACACTTCGGCTTCATGGAAAAAACACCTGTTGCCTGGACTGTTAACTGCTTAATCTCTCCACTCCTGCTGATCTGTGCTGCCTTCTCAGCTGAGTATTTTTTTTCTTTAGCATTCTTGTACATGTCTTTTTTATTTGGTATTTTGAAATTGCACTTTCTAACTGTTGCTGTTGTACATGGAGGCATTTTTTGTTTTGGAAACTAACAGCAGTAATTTTTTAAATCAAGTACCTAAGTTACCAAAAATGTTAGAAAAAGTACATAGTTTCCCACCACCACAGTCACTGTACCCTATATATTTCTTTTGGACTTTAAGCTATGGGTGCTTTGTTTTTTAATATAATATGTGTCTAGTTTTTTAATTTACCACCTTACCATATTTTTCCTCCTTAAAAGCGTTAATTTCCTTAAAACTATTTGGGAGTAGGGAAAGGTGCCTTTTCCAGCTTCTGAGCCAAATTACCAGCCACACGATTACTAAGGAGGAGATCTGAATTGGCTCATGGCTGGCCACGCAGTGTCAAGGGCCTCTCCACAGCTACCCCGGTTGGCAGGTAGGCATAAGCGATACAGGCCTGCGTAATGGGTGCGTGGCTCCCAGCGCTGTGTCCAGCAGAGATGGGCACTGACTGGACACCCACTGCCTTTAACTAGTTCTGGCACAAATGTAGTTTTATAAGATAGCTGTGCAGAGGGCTCATTTTCTATTGCCAAAAGACTTCAACTCATTTGCTCTAAAATTTGTTTATATGTTGAGTCTTCAGTATTCTCAATCACATGGAGCTCGTGGTGGGACACCTCCAGTGTGGGGTCCTCACCGTGTAGATGTTTACTGCTGTGAACAGCGCTGGGCGGGAGGGACGGGGCACCACAGACACTGCTGCTGTCCTCGGCTCCTCCCCCAATGCGTTCAGTTTTATCAAACACCTTCATTTCTGCCGTTCAAAAATGAAAATTACACCTTATAATTTTGATGTTTCCTATTGTATTTTTTTCCTCTGCAGAAAAAATTTCAGTTCTTATGTAGTTAAAAGAGTCTTTTCTTTCTGACTTCTGTGTTTGTATTTAGTCTGAAAAGGCTTGCTTTCCCTTTTGAAGATTATAAACACTTCTTTCCTGTTTTCTAGTATTATACTTTGCTTTTAGTTTTTTTTTTTATATATACTTTGCTTTTAGTTTTTACATTTAATCCTTGATCGCTCTGGAAATTATTTTGGTTCTTGGTTCAAGGAATCACATAGGAAGAAATTTGCTTCCTGGGTGCTGTCCAGTTATCCTGTCTTATCACGTACTAATTAAATTGCTGTATGAATATGACCATGTATACACTGTCCACTTTGCACTATTACCATTCCATTTTCCAGAACTAAACTACTTGATTATTTGTGCTTTATGTTTTAACTGGGACTCCCTCCTCCAATTTCTTCTGATCGTCCTTGTTTACTTTTCTTTATGAATTTGGTAGATTTTTTTTTAAGGAATAAGAATATAATTTAAGGAAAGTTTCACTCCTGTGGTCCACTTATCCAAGAATATGTCTTTTTGTATGTTAATATCAAAACTTTTGCCAGGTTTTCTGGGTATGATCAGTTAAAGTTTTCGTGTTTCTTTTTTAACACTGCGCTCTTCTTCATCGCCCTTTTTGTTGTTGTCGCATGTTCTGATAACCCCAGCGTTTCAGAAAAGTCACCCCAAGTTACAGGCCCTTGCGCTCGGTGTGCACCCCCAGCTCTGAGCTAATTAACGTGTGGTTTCCGTGTTGCAGGCACGTTCTCATCAAAAAGCTCAGTCAGCTGAGAGACAGCGAGCCTGACCTGGCCCAGCTGCTGGTGGATCAGGTGAGGCTGCTGGAGTGGGCGAAGAGCAGGCTGAGGCTTTGAGGTTTCCTCTAAAACCCTGTTTTAAACAGAACAACTCTCTTCCCTTCTCTTTGCATTTGAGGTCCCTGGGTTGGACCCAGGCCTCGTTTCCCCTCCCACTGACAAGGTGCTATCCTGCTTTTCAGATCTACGAGAACGCCATGATCACAGCGGGACTTGTCGACGACCCTCGACCCATGGTTGGACGCCTGAACCACCTGCTTGTCAAGGCCCTGGAGCGACACTGATGGCTGCGGACGCGGGGACAGATGCAACCATGGGCAAGGCAGCCCGCAGCCAGGCACTAGGGAGTAGGCACACACACAGGAACGACTGGCGCGAATGACAACAGCCCCTTTTGAGCTTTATTTAAATTAAAAGGCATTTCTTAGTTTTAGACTTTCTTTCCCGACTGAGAAGGTGGGGTGCTCTGGTGACAGAACCGCCACACTTATAATGGAAGGGGGTCAGGTGCTCTCCTCAAATTCCAGCTGCTGCGGGGTGGTTGGGGGTTCACACGGGAGGGAAGGCACTGGGTTCCTTAAGCTCCACCCTCCGCTCTTAACTGTGACAACGAGTCAGCTGTCTTCAGCTCCTGGCATGGGGCAGAGGTCGTAGACCCCAGGATGGACTTATGTCAGTGTCACCTCCACCGGGTAATGGTCACTGATGGCCAGGGCCTGTGGGAAAAAGGCAATGAGCCCAGGGACCCCAGACACCTAGTCGTCTATGGTCGTGTGCCTGAGGTGGTTTTCTCAAGTCAACAAAAAAAAGGCAGGGTGTCCAGGACAGACACTTACCATCTCGTTGCTCAATCCATATGCAGCTTGGAAATCAAAGGGAGCAGCCGAGCCAGAAACCACAGAACTCTGGAGCAGAGACCCTGCAACCACAATCCTACAGCAGAAGACATAAGAGGAAGTCCCCTTGAGCCCAGGCTGTGACACTCTGCACTTGCACCTTGGGTCCTGGCCTGTCCCCCCAGCTCCTCTGGGTCTGCTGAATGTCACACAACCCCAACCACGCTTCAATGCCACCATGGAGTCGGTCGGGCCCCAGCTCAATGTTGCCCCAAACTGCGTACCACTGACCAACCTCCGTATCTGCCAGGGTCATGTGCTCCCTAAATGTGTTCCAACCCAAAACTAAGAAATGCCTTTCCTAAGTCAGAAGGGTGAGTGCCCGGTCTTGGGAAGCACTTCTGAAGCTAATGGCAGCGGCACCCTGCTCACCGGTCATAGGCGCAGTTTGTGGACGTAGCCGTGGTGTCAGCACTGTCAGGAATCAGCCACTGGAAGGTGGAGCTTGTGCGCAGGCGGATGGATGACCACTGCGAGGAGGTCACGTAGCTGCAGTCAGCGTTGAAATCACCCATCAACATGATGTCCTGCCAGGAGACAGCCACAGGTTGGCCCAAGGCACGATGGGGGCCCCCACAGCCCAAGGCGGGGATGGGGGGGGGGCTCACATTCAAGTCCCACTTCTGCCGGACATCCAGGTAGACGTCGTAGAGAGAGTTAATCTCAGCCACCGCATCTGATGGGGCGGAGTGCAGGGGAACAATGGCAAATTCCTTGACCTCTGGGGAGACAGCAGAGCCGGGTGTTGGCTGGGGTGGAGGACAACTGAGACACCCCCCCGAGGGTGGATGTCTTCCTAACTTCAGTGTGACACCAAAGGGGCTGTGGGGTGCAGCACAAGACAGGCGCACTCACTGGTGGAGGGGGATGAGAACTTGACTACAGCGGGCTCCCGGCTGAAGCTGTCATTTCCGCAGGACTCGCAGCCATCGTCATACTGGTAGGTGTCCAGCACGGACACCTTGTTGGGTCTGCAGAAGGCCAGGCCAGAGGGTGGTCAGCCTGGGCTCAGGCACCACGCAGACCCACTGGCACAGAGCTCCCGCCAAGGCCTCCTGCCTCTGCATGGGCTGTGAACCTCGAGGGGCACAGCCCAGCTCAGACCCCTGCGCTGGGGGCCCCAGTTCTTGCCCCCAAACCTGAGGGGAGGGGCACACGGACTCTCGGCCACATTGCAGCCTCCTGTGTGCCCGTGAGGTGGAGGCCTGCAGCATTACCTGAACACAAAGAGGTAGCGCTCCTTGTAGCTGTTGCGGCCCAGCGGCTCACTGACCACATAGTGGTAGTTGTTTGGGTCATCCCTGGATTGAGGAGACAAACGTCCCAGTCAGGAACTGGTGGGGCAAGTCCCAGGGTACCCCACACCTGTGTCCCTGCAGCCGGGCTGACCTGGCACTGTGTCTGGGAAGAGACAGTCGTCATCATCCCCCTCCCCCCAGGCCTCCTGGGACCCCACTTCACCCACTGGTTGAGATGGTCCAGCAGCTTCCCCACGGCCACCAGGTGGCTGTCTCTGACCTCCTGGATGAGGACGATGTCATAACGACTCACGATCTGGGGACAAGGCCACAGTGCTGTTGAGCAGGCAGGCGGAGACCGCGGCGTCCGAGCCGGCTGAGCTGCTGCCCCCGCCCCGGACACTCCCTGTCATAGCCTGGCCTGGGACCCTAACACCAGCCATGGACACCACGGCAGTAACGAGGGCCTGTCCCCCTGACTGACAGGTGGGCTGAGACCTTGATGCCCCCCATCACCACCACTGCCAGTCACCCTCAGGACTGACCACTGGCCCAGGATTCCCAGGGCCTGTTAGACAGCCCACCTCCAGCTTCCCCACCCTGAGGGCCCTGGGGACAGAGCTGGACTTACCTGCACAATGTAGCTGGAGAGTGTAGCGTTGGACATCTTGGTCTCCCCAAAGGTGCGGATGTTGAAGGCTGCTATCTTCAGGGATAGGCCCAGCTGCAGCAGGCCAGCCAGGGTGAGCAGCAGCCCGGTCAGCCTGGTGCCCCTCATCCTGGAGCATAAGGGAGAGCCATGTGTGGGCTGGGGGCAGACTGGGCCCCCTCTCCTCCCTGAGCCCAGCTGGACAAACAGCCAGGGTGAGAGCCAGGTGCCAAGGACCACATAATGGGCCATAGATCTCCTCAGCCCTCAGCCGCCAGCAGATGAGCTCTGTGAGGGTCACCAGCCCAGGAAGCCCCTGGCAGTGTAGTGCCAGCTCACTGCCCTTCACGCTCCAGATACCCCCTCCGCGGGACTGGCCAGGGTTCTCGCGGTTGGGCGTCCACCTCCTATAAGCACAAGTCACCCAGCCCGTGGGGCACTGGGCACACTCACCTGAAACCTTTCATAAAGAATTCTGCCAAGAACTGGTATTCTTCAATACTAGTTCTCTCCTCTGGCTGCTTAAAAAATACTCACGAAGTGTTAAGAAACGCAAGCGGGAGCTGCCGCTGCTCCACACAGGAATGTCTGTTCCCCCTGGGGTTTTAAAGGCTCAGGCAGCTGTGCCCTTTCCCAGGGCATCACCTGGAGGACGAGGAACAATGGCCCTGCTGTGTGCCTTTCTCAGCGGGTGGGTGACTGCCATGTGTTTATTTTGAGAGGCACAGGTCCCTTGCATCTGTAAAAAAATCACCTGATGATATTTGCACTTGATTTTAAAGTCATTCAATATAGCCAAAGGCTCTCTGGCTTTTGCACATGTTGCTCTCCCAGGGATGGGGAGCAGGTGACCTGCAGGGCGGGGCACCAGCGACACTCCAGCTGCAGGATCTGAGGTGACCTTGGCGCCAGCACAAAGCTCGACTTTCCCTGTTGCGAATGGAGCCCATGGTGGCGGCTCTGTTCCAGAAACCCCTCTCCCCTCAACTCCAGCCCTGCTTCCTGACCTTTCCCTGTGGGGGCTTCAGGGCGGTGGGCACCAGGAAGGGGCAGGGGCTGCAGAGCCCACCTTAACTGCTAGCAACGGAGAGCCTGTGTGTCCAGGCGCAGGTGACAGGAGTAGGTCACAAGAACACGGTCAGGCAGCAGATCAGGGTCTGCCAGGCCTTGGGTCCAGTCATTTCTTCTTGGAATCCTTTGCCTTCCCATTTGTATTCACTTCCTGTGGGTGCTGCAACAAGTCACCACAAACTTCATGGCTTAAAACTATAGAAACTTATTCTCTAGTAATTTTAGAGACCAGAGATCCAAATCACTGCACTGAGCTGAAATCAAAGTGTCACAGGCTGCACACCCTCCGGAGGTCCTGGGAGGCCCTTCCGCCCCCTTCAGCTTCCAGAGGCTCCTGGTGTCCTTGGCTGTGGCTGCCTCACTTCATTGCCTCCGTGTCGATTCTTTCACCCTCAGAGAAGGAGGTGAGTGAGTGTAGGGTCCTCCCAGATAATCTGGGACCATCTCCGTATCGTGAGATCCTTTTTTGCCATGTGATGTTTCCAGGGATTAGGACATGGAAATATCAGAGGGAGGGTGGCATCATTCAGCCCATCACCCCATCAATGGGGGCTCTGCCCCGTTAGGGAGAGGCGGTGGTCTCCAATGACAGCCCTGCAAGTAGGAAGGCTGGGTCCCTCCCTGGAATGGAAGGGCCTTGCAGTGGCGGGCGTGTGGGGTCTGTGTGCAGGGCTATGGGGACTGGGCTTCAGGGAGCAGGAGCAGCCTGAGAAGAGCAGTCTTCAAGGACCAAGGTCAAAAATCACAGAAGTGTCATGGGTGTGGTGTGCTGGTCATGAAGGAGGAGGACACAGGATTAAAAACAACTCAAAGTAAACCAAGACCAGAACCCCCTGAAGTAATGAGAACATGCTGACGGACAGCTCTGGCGGTTAGCAGGAATGCTAGTCAGCTCCTCGAAACGGCACCTACAATGCAGGGTCACGTGGCCTTGCCCTCAGGCTGCCAGGAGCCCCCCTGCAGCCTTTCGCAAAGGTCTGATTGCTGACTCTCCTGTTTAAAATCTCCAAGACTGCAAGAGGATCAAAATGAAGATTCTAACCACTAACCAAGACCATCAATGCATCCAGAATAGGTGCCTTGAACGCTCTTCCATGGATTTCACCTGGACACACAGGTGCAGATCTTTGAGAGGAGCATGAGAATAAACCAGTAGGTGGCACAGCCGTGGCTCATACAGAGGGTACCTGGACCCCGCTCCCCAGTTTTCAGGGACACAGGCACCTGTTGGCACCCCTGTTCCCCCATCAACCAAACACTGCCCCTTATGTGCCAAGGAGCTGCCCTCCCTCACCAACCTGCCAGAAAAAAGGTCCCAACTATGGCCTCACTTGCACTAAGTGCCCAGCTCCACAGACATACCAGCAGCCCTAAGTTAGGCCTACAGAGAGGCAGGCAGCACAGCCTGGGAAGAGCCCAGCCAAGAGTCAGGGGTGTGGGGCCCAGTCCAGGCTCACCCACTGCACCTTCAACCACTTTGAACCTCAATATCTTCAACTCTAAATAAAGTCTGTATTAAGGATCAACAGATAGAACAAAAAGATCATCTCACATCTTAAAACTTCATCCTATTCTAGACCATCACTTCCCTGGTGGTCTAGTAGCTAAGACTCCACACGCCCCATGTAGAGGGGTCCAGGTTTGATCCCTAGTCAGGGAACAAGATCCCACATGCCGAAACTAAAAGATCCTGCATGCTAACTAAGATCTAGTGCAGTCAAAAAAAAAAAAGACCCAGTGAGCGCCCCCAAGAACTTGGGGTGGATGGGCGCGACCTGCACACCAACATGTGGCCCAGGAGACAGAAGGCCCACAGACCCAGGGGAAAAGAAGAGCGCAGCACAGCAGTGCCCGGAGGCGCCCACAGCGGAGCTGCAGGCACAGCAGGATGCGATTTACTTTTGGGGAAAACGGTGATACTAAACCTCAACACTCCAGCATTTCAACATGACACCTTGCTCCACTGCTTTGTGTGATTTCATGTCTGCAATTGCAGTTACTGAAAAGGCAATTACTGTGTAAGCTGATATGGAAAAGGCAACAAGGGTGACCAGGTCCAGTCTGATTCCAAAATTCAAGAAGAGCCTGACAGGCAAATGTTCCACTCCTAAGAAATTACGGCTACTTAAAAATGCAATGAAAAAAAATTTTATGTTTACATTATTTTCCAAATGTCTATTATAAGTTGTTAAGATATAAATACTGTACTTAAACTGTTTGGACTTAACTATTTAAAAATGAAACTATTACTTCTTTGGTCTGTGGGTCCCTTGGACCTCTAGGTCTAACATACACAATGGGGGTGCCACCTCCCACGATGGCCCCCACCTGCCCAGATGCCAGACGCCTCAGGGTCCCTGGGGTCCCTGCTTTTCCTCAGCTCCACCCGCTCTGGTTCGCCCGTGCCTGTCCTTCCCCAAACACAAGCAAACCCGCCCACTGGTCTCCCCACTCCCAGAAACTCTCCCCACAGTCCAGTCTCCACACAGCACCCACACATCTTGTGAATCACATCACCCTACTCCCCTCAGAATCTGCCACGGGTTCCTCCTGTCCTTGAGGGGAGAGCAGGCACCCACCAGGGGCTGGGCGACGCAAGCTCAGGGCCCCGCTCTGCCCCCAGGGCCGCCCAGGTTCCGCTCACGGCGCCTCCTCAGGGAGGTCGCCCTCCCCACCTGACCCTGCCACTAGCACGGTCCCAGTGTCCCTTTTCCGTGACCCTTATCACTGGTTTTCTTTGTTTTAGTGTGTTTGCTCTTACCTGCTCATGCTCCCTGAAGGCCGGCCTCTGCACTATTAATAGAACACAAGCCGCACAGGGGCAGGGACCTCGTCCGTCTCATCCCTGAAAGATGCCTGAAGGGCAGAGGCCCTGTACTCACCTGCCCCGTCACCTCCCACACGAGAGGACATCCCCTCCTCACGGACCCCCCAGAGAACTCGGCAAGGCCTCCTGTCCTGAAGCACAGGGGACACTGCAGGACGTCCAGGCGGCTCTCGGACGCTTGGCATGAACTGATCAGAAGCTCCCAGGAGCTAGCGGCTGCTGTGCCCACCCTCAGCCAGACCTGACCTGGATTCCTTCTCTCCCCTCAAGAGGGGTGTTCACTGGCCCCAAGACAGAGAATTCTGGAGGATGAAGGGGCTTCCGTCCTTTACTCGAGATGGTCAGTGTCTCCGCTGGGACACCACTCTAATCGGTGTCCGACAGACAGTGTGGGTCAGCAGTCATCACTCAGCTCAGCCACTGGCCTTGGCCCATGACCCCACCTTAGCTCACCGTCCCTCATGAATTTATTTCTGTTCATTATAAGGAAACCATTAACCCAGGATGGAAAGGTTCTCAGAATGGCATGTGTATGAACTGCTATAACCCACAACAGTTTCAGAGTCACGCTGAGCACAGCCCTGACCCTGCCCCCTCACCAGCTACGCCAGTGCCCACTGCGTCACTGCCACAGGCCACACCTGGGCCCCGTGGCCCAGCGGCCTGAGTGCCAACGTGCTCGCCTTCTGCACGTCACAGACAAGCCTCCCCTGGCTCCTCATCCCACCAGAGGCATTTTCCACGGTGTGTGCTGTGAAGACTGGCATACCTTAAGCCTGAGCCTATGAACAAACATCAGGTTCCTGATGCCTGAGGCCCTGAAAGATTTAACTAGAGTCACGGAGCTCCACTGACTAGACTCCCAGTGAGTAACGTTTCCAACAAAGTTGAGTGAAGAGCGTCCCCCAAATCCCCAAGACCCCTCAGTCTCTCCCAAGCACAGAACGCCTCCTCAACAGGCTCTCCCCCCATCCAACAGGTCTCCAGAAGGTTCAGAGTCCAGGACAGTGTGGATAGTATGAGCTGGTCATGGCAAGGTCTGCAGCGAGATTTTCTACTGATTTATCTTCCAGTTCACTGGTCCTTCCTTCAGCTGTCTCTCATCTACTTTTAAATCCACCTAACTGAATTTTAAATTTGTTATTGTACTTTTCTCTTTTAGAATTTTCAACCTTTTATGAATTCTAATTCTCTGTGAAACTCTCCATCTTACCGATTTCAATGTTAATTGGTTATTTTAAACTCTATGTCTGCCAACTCCAGCATCTGTGGGTCTCTCACTCTTTCCTTTCTGTCCCATTTATCAGTGTAGGTAGTGACTAGACGCAGAGTCAGGCGCTGTGTGTGACAAAGGAGAGGACTGGGACGGTGTCTTCCTCCATGGGGCAGCAGAGGGGGCCGGCCACCCAAGGTCCGAGTGGAGAGACTGGCATTTTTAGGGCTGTTCCTCCTGCCAGGCCCTCAACTCTTCCCTGGCACCATGAAACTGCCAAAGACCCAGCTCTGCTCCGTACGCACCTTCTGCGTCTCTGGCCTCCTCCCTCTCAGGGATCTCCGCCCTCGAGTCCCACTGCCTCCACAGCTCCCAAGCCCCCAGAGCTCAGTCTCCCCAACCCCACAAGATTACCTGGGGCTCCTCTGGGTTCTCTGCCTCTTGGCAGCTGCCCCTGCCCAGCCCCCGAGAGAGAGGCCAGTGTAGGAGGGAGACTCACCTCTTCAAGCTCCCCTCTGCGTTGCGGGCCCCAGGGTGGCGCTCCAGTCCTTTGAGCAGGTGCCTTGAGTCCTCGGCAGGACTGGTCTGCTGTGAGCAACTCCATAGCCAGAAGCAGTCTGTTTGTTATCTGGAATGAGTCATTGAAGTAGAGAGCTGGAGACTGTGGTGGATAACTAGGCAAGCTGGTCTGACCAGCAGGCTGTGCGTGGACATCTCTGAGCTAAAAACGCAAGAGCAATGCAAGCCAACGAGAGATGATCAGAAGGAAACAAGACCATACTCTCTGCCCAACCAAGTCTCTGGGACTAAAGATCTCTGTATCCTGTTTGAAACCTAGAGTACTTGTTCTCATTACCCCAGTCCTAAAGGTGAAGATGGTGCAGGGCAAGGACACAGCAATGCTGTATTCTATAAGGCTGTCCTGCAGCTCCTCAGAGAATGGCAGCACCTGTCCTGAGCTGAGGTTTACCACCTCGCTCCTAGAGAAGGGGCCTTGGGGCCTGCAGGCGGCCAGCTCCAGGCCTGTTTCCTCTCTGGGGACTCTGCCCCCTTGGCCAGGTAGGCGATGCTATTTTCTGAAAACTCTTAAGTACCTGCTGTGCTTCCCACCCGAGACCACCCATGGGGCTTCTCTACAGACACTAGTGTGTTTCACACTGACGGTTTCAACACAGTTGTCCAAAGGGGCTCCTGCATCAGGGCCTCTGCACTGCTCCTCCACCCCCAGACACAGGGCTTGTCCCTCCCTTGACTCAAGCCTCTGCCCAAAGGCCACCCCCCACAGCATCCTACTCAGCAGCAGGCTTTGTCCCACTACTGTCTCCTTCACCCTGCTCACTTTCTCCCGCCCACCAGTCACATCTAACACAGTGTACGGTCAGCCTCATCCCACTGGGCCTGAGTCCCACAGAGCTGGGGCTTACGCAGAAGCACCTGGGCACGGCCTGATCCACAGCAGGTGCTCACCGAGGCCCGGCTGAGTGAAGAGATGAAGGTCAGTCAGGGGCCTGCTGGACAGAACCAGGGCTTTAGATGCTCCAACCTCTTCAGCTGCTTTGGCTGTGCCCATTTAAGTGTGAGCATCTCACACAAGAGGAACCCCACGTGGCCCTCCCAGGTGACTGAGTAAAGGAGCAGGCTTCTGCACAGGGCCAGGCTCCTCAGCCTGGCAGAGATGTCCGCCTCCTTGGGGACCGCAGGGCTCTGGGCAGTGGAACTGATCTCACCCCATGTCTATACCAGCTTCAAAAACACGTCCACTTACCTGTGAGGCTGGCTTTCCAGACACCTTCCCCCAGGGCTTGCACAAAAGCACAGTCGTGGGTCAAGGGACAGGGTCTCAGGCAGGAGCAGCGATGACCTCAGGAGACCAGGAATGAGTCCAGTCCGGCTCACTCTGGCCAAAGTCAGAGTGGCCTGAGGTGGGTGGCCTTGTCGGTCTGGGTCCACACTGTCCAAAGACTGCTGAAGTCATAGCAGGCCATAGAGGAGGCCTGTGCAAATGCCTTGATAACTGGTTGTTTCCTCACTTGGGCTCCCATGAGGAGACTGTGATCTTCGCAGGAGCCTCAGCCCACAAATGACACAGCACAGGAAGCTGGTAAAATGCAAATGTGCTGCGGGAACGACACCATGTCATTTCCTCTCAGCCTGTGCCATCTCCCTGGTCCCACTCACACGCGACTAGTTTAAAAAGAAGAAAAAAGGGAGTGTTAATAATGTCAGTCAGCTGAGCGACAGGACACCTAGCTGTCCTGAAATTTCATCAAGCTCCTGACAGGCTGTTTCATTTGTGTGTTTTACTCACTTTTTTCAAGACAGAGTAAGAGAGGCCCCTAAACAATGAGAAAACCAGGCAAGAGGTGGTGTGATGTGTTTTCAGCCACTGGATAAGTGCAAGACAAGGATCTGGGCCCAATGGTTTGGGGTGGGAGGGCACGTGCAGGGCACTCACGCAGCTCGCTGGATCTTAGTTCCCTGACCAGGGAGTGAACCCAGGGTCATGGCAGTGCCAATGTCAAGTCCTCCCCACTGGACCTCCAGGGAACTCTGGGCTCTATGCCCCGTGAGTGAGGAGACACCTGGGAGGCAGGGAGGCCCAGGGGGCTAGAATGTG